CTCTTTGTGTCTGTTCAGAGGAAATGGTTTTGTTCAGAAGATCTGATGCACATGAGAAATCTCTATAAAATGCCTTCAACAAAAAAGAATTTACAGTAACACTTATAGCACTAATACAACAGAATGAAAATAATCCAAACCAGCATGAATCACCATGAACAAGTATTAGATGTCTTCAAATAAAAATATAATTCCAGTAATTCTGGTACTCACTTTTAACATAGCTTTTCATTTGAGTTTGCTACTTTTAGAGAGCAATGCTTCTCTCTTTTAGAAACCTTTCCACTAGAACCAGATTGATGCTTAAAACATCATCAAGCCTTCTTCCTTCAGGTCAGAAATCCCAAGCCTTTTCATAACTGAAATAGTGGAGGTGCCATGGGCTCCATGGAGTCCACAGGAGGCCTTACTACTGCCACTTGGTTTTCCATGAAAAGTTTTCAGCCACTGCAGTATGTACCCTGAACAGTCAACTTAAGAAATACTGGAATGAAGATTGTAAGAAAGCTTGACTGGCATAAATACTTGTAACCTCTTGTGAATTTGCTGTGGTATTCCAGATTTACCACATAGAGCTGTGTACTAAATAGAATCAATAATTTGGTGGTTGGTCCTGACTTCTGCTGGATGAAGCTACTCTGTTGTTTTGTCACAGTTATGGGCCTGTTTTCTCTCCTAATTTGTTGTGCTTGCTCAGTGAAATTGAATCGCATGCTGTTTCAGGCAAGTCTTGGAGAAGTTGTTTTCCTCGGTGCAGATGGCTCTTTCCTCCAGATGTGAAAGGCAGTTAAGAGCTGCCTCATTTTTTTCTTAACCCTTCTGAACCATCTTGAAGTGCCCTTGATGCTATAGTAGTGCAGTGGTTCTTGCCCTATAGATTATTTTCTTGTGCCTATGATCTGTCATGCGTGTCACTCACAGCACTGGCTCCATAAACGCGTTGCTTTGGTTTATTTGGTTTGTGTTCTTGTTTGTTTTAACAACGACAAAGTAAAATTCAAGAGCACAGCAGCCCCTGGGAGATCTCCCTGCTGGAAGGTCTTGTGGCAGCTTGGCACCAGTGAGGGTGCAGCCCCTGGTGTTTGCAGCTGCAGATGTTCCAGCCTTGCATCTTCAGCCCAGAGCAGTCAAGGAGAATCTGTACCCTGACCATTTCCCTTCACCCTGCCTGTTTCATTTGGGAACACAATGAGCTGTCAAAATTTCCTGCTTTGTTACCACAGAATTCCTTCCTTTCTCTCTAAAAAGTATTATTTATGTAAAACTGCTAATTGCATAAATTGTCAGAACAACTGCTTAGCTTGATTTTTAAGGTGGAGACAAAGAGATGTAAAAGTCTGGTGGACTGATGAAAGTCAGCCTCAAAGTAATCTGCCAAAGCAAAAAAAATAGCATTGAGTGTATTGCCATGAACAGCCCAAATTAATGTGGCAAGTTGTATATCTGGTGCAATCCCTTACTAAGATGTAATTAAAAGTAACAGGGAAGAATATAAATATTTTCCAAATACGTGAGCCAAGAAAAAATGGAGGAAGGGAGGTGTGGTTGATTTAGCCCACCACCACTTCCTAACTAATCTTTCTCTAATGATGTAGAGAGAGACTAGGTGGCACCTGGTGAAGTATTTTGAAATAACAGATTCATGAGGTAGAGCTACCTGATAACATCTTTGACTCATCAGAAACTTGCCTTCCCTCAGGATAAAGTTAATAATCATATAAGAATATAAAGATTTTAGCAGCTTTTCCTAAGTCAGCAAGGATGCAGATTTATTCTGTATACAGGTTCCTGTAGTGCTAGAGACAGTCCAAAATTATATTGTCTGTAAAAAATTTAAAATTACACAAACAGCCAATTCTAATAATCACTAATTTGTCATGACTTCCATTCCTGGGGCTTGCTAGTTCAGTAAAACTCATTCACATTTCTTACTAATTCCATCAATAGCTCCATTGCTTTCCCTCTCTTTGCTGAAATTGCTTTGAATAGTGTACATAAGCATCTAATTTGGCTAGTCTGTAGGTCTGTATGAGACAGCAGGACCGTGGGAGGAAGCTGGGCTACCAGGAACATCAGGCATCTGGGCCACAGAGCAGCTGGGACAGAAGAGGTGACAGCAGCGGTGAACTTAATTTAAAATAGCTGTAGCTATCAATACCTGGTATCTCCCAGCATTGTGTTATCCTTAAGGATTATTAGTGCTCTTCTGTGTCAAGATCATCAAGAAAAATTCTTTAGGACCATTCCCAGCATAAATTTTCTAAATATCATGGAGATTACGGAGTAATTGTTCCCATGTAAAAGTTTTCTTTCGGTGCACTGTGTTACCTTCTTATTTTTAGTCTTCATTTGTTGCCCTCATCTCTTGCCTTCTCTTGGATGTTTAATGAGGTTCATATTGTTGAATTGCACTACAGTATTGCTTTCTTTTACTTTTGTCTAACACTTAGTTATTTTATTTGAGGTAATTAAGTGTCTTGTATGGTCTACTTCTGGTAAGCCCACCTTATCTTTTCATCGGTGTTACAGTTGTCTACCTACCTTTAGTGTTCTCTCTTTAGTGTCCTCAAAATTTGGGCTCACACTTCTGAGATCAGAGTTAAGGAATCCTTTGATACATGACTGTATATGATTTTCTTTTTGTCTAGTACTATGGTACCTCCTCTGATTTGATAGATGCATTATTTCATGCCTAGAAAGAATATCAGTCTTTCTGGTTTTATAGTATCATATGTTTTGGGTGTTTTTTCAGATTTTTGGAGTCTGAATTTATCTTTTTTTGTTTTGTTTTTAATGTCTCTGCTGATACAGTCACAAGTGACATGTTTATTAGTGTGTAATACAGGGGATTACTTGCAGATTCCTGTTAATTCATTGGTGCCTGCAGAAAAACAAAAGCGTTGGTCAAGGCATGCTCTGAATTCACACCTGTTCTTAATTTGCTGATGCCTGTATCAGCAGCAGGCTCAAGCCTGCCTGATTTTTTTGGGTTTATATCATGCGTACCATGTGCTTGCCATTTTTACTCTTTGTGCACACGTGAGCCAATCTGATGGGGTTACCTGTGGCAGAGAGCAGTGCTTTTAAGTCTGGGTGCTGCTTCGTGATCTCTGGCTTGTGGGTGCTGGTGAATCTTGCGTCGGTGTTCTACAAACTCTCCAGCTATTTGCCTCCACCCTTCTTCTCTTTAACGTGAGGATCACGGGGGGATGGGTTCTTGTACCTTCATTGCCACAATTACATTACACATAATTTTAAGCTGCTGATGAAGGTGGACCCACGGCATCAGCATACCTTTGAAGTGGAACAGCTGAAGAGCAGGTAGAGGTTTGCACCTCCTGCCCCTGCTGTCAGGAGGGGTAATTGGGGTCAACAGCAGCTTGAGTTGCTTTGGACTGGTTCCTTAGAGTGGTTGGCAAGAAGGAGCCAAGAACGGGGAACATGTGTTCTGTCTCTGGGAACAAAAAAGCAAAGTGAAAGTAAGGGTGAGAGAACCTAGATTTATATTTATAATCAAAAGTGACTGTGTTTGAAATATTCTTAATTTGCATGCACTCTCTTGTGTCTTTCGTATCTCTAAGGACCCCTAGAGGGCACGGAAGTTTCTCTCCACCTCAGATATTTAACTTAGTAATTCTACTTGGCTTTCTTCCCTTCAACATAATTGTAAGCACATTTTAAGTGAACATTAGATAGAAAAAAATTAACAGCATTTAACTAGGTCCTTCTTTTATGCTACAAGATGTTTTCTTGTTTTTAAACACAAGCAGTAGAAGCTAGCACTAGCAGCCAAATTCTTAAATTATTGTTTAGATTAGTCAGATGCTATATTTTTATCCAAGAGGAAATGCAATTCAAAGTAACTAAAAATTCACACTTCATTGCAAACTTTGATAGGACTACACTACTACTACTACTAGTGTGAGCTGTGTAAGGATGGGCAGTGGGTATGCTTTCAACACTGTGGTCTCTGTTTCTGTAGAAGAGGAATTAGTATGGTGAAGAGCTAGAGTATTCTTAACTAGAACCTCAAGGTCTCCAGACTTCATCTTATTTAAGAATTTTTAATATTTTGGTCTTTTTGATTGCCTGTAAAGGAACAATTACATTTCACTACAAGATACTTAAAATTATAGGCACATAAAATTGACATATGCTTGCCCACTACTTCCTGTCTACTTGGAGAGGGGTTTTATAACTCTTATATATCCTGGGGAGCATTTTTCTCCTTAAATTAGTTTTCCCTATTTCATCAATATTACATGGTAAGTCAGGAACTAGTCAGTGTGAGTTGCACAGCAATACACAGTACTAATTCTTAGTATTGTGTTGGCACTTCATCAGTTTAAATATACATGCTAACGCTCCAGAGTAATGCTTATCTGAGAACATCAGGTTTTCACTTACATAAAACAGCTGCAGTGTTTGAGGAGAAGGTTTGCGTTTTCCAGAGTGCTCAAAGAGCAGAAAGTAAAACAAAAACAAACAAACAAACATACAAACCACCCACCTAAGTGCAAAAATATCTTAATACTTTTGGGGGGGGATTTTTTCATCAACTAATGGTGTTGAGAGCAGTTCCTGCAGCTGTGGAGGTCCATTGGATTGTGGGCCTAGTCTGGGATTGGGACCTTTGTATGTAAAACCCTGACAGTCAGAGTCCTACCTGTTCTTGCTTGAGGAAAAAAAAGGCAGATGTCTGCACTTCTTGTGAAGCAGTGAGAGTCTGCTTGCTGGGCAAGAAGTTGTTCAATAGGATAATGTTGTTTAATCCCAGCCAGCAATGAAGGGTTTTTTGTGTCTTTGTTCTGATAAGAGGATCAGCTGTACTGCTTTACCCAATTACCCAGGGATGTCATGGGAGATGAATTTTTGGACCTTAGTTTTCCCACTGGAGGAGTGTAATGTCGTCACTTTGTATTAAAAAATAGATCTAGATGAAAACAGCAGGGAAAGGCAGCTGCCCCTTCTAATGTCTCTGGGGATTTTGTGTTTTGCAGGAGATGCACGGGTGAGAGGTCAGACAGGGGTTGTCTCCGAGCGCCGCGGCTCCTACCCATTTATAGACTTCCGTCTTCTTAACAGTAAGTGCAACCCTTCTTTCAGGTCTGTATTTAAATAAAAACAAATAAAAATCTCTACTGGAAGTGTATGAACCAAACTATCTCTTCTCATACATATCTGTACCTCAGCTGTCTTCACACAGTCAGCATTAATTCCATTATTTCCACTCAATGTCTGGCTGTGAAATGTTTTGATTGTGTGAATAGTCCATAATGCTCAATCTGTCAAATGTAAATACAGTAGGGCCATGGGGTGTGCTAGGGAAGGAGCAGGGGCAGTTCAGAATTAAAGAGATAAACCTCTGTGTCCTTTAGCCTCTTAGACAACAGTTGGAACAGATTTATGTGAAGCTGTTATCCGGTCATATAGAATTGGCACAGAAGGGGAGCATGTGACAGCACTGACCAGTGGTTTACAATAACATTAATTTTTCCAACAATTAGAACCCAATCCAAAGCCCCATGGAGTCTTCTCATTGACGTCAATGGATTTTGGGTCAGGCCAGCAGTGAACATCTGTTAAAAATAATCTTAACCTCATTTTGATTGAAGTTATTTTGCCACTGTTGTAAATAAAGGACAGCAAATCTAAAAAGAAAAAGAAACAAATTGAGGCCCTGTTGGTTTTTTTTTCACCTGATGGACTCTCTATACTGATGCAAACCCGAGCGTGTAAAAAAAATAAAACAAAAAGAACCACTAAGTCTTGGGTCCTGTAGCACTCAGCCTGGATGCTGTGTAAACTTCAGTGTATGGACACAGGCAGATCTTGATGTGTCCTTGTTTACTGCACAAGCAACCTTTGAAAAAACTGTTTTTCACTGTCTTCATCAAAACAAACTGGAGCTCCCAACAGTTTCAGTGCTGACACTGTTACGCTCCTAGGGATTGTGCTTTTCATCAAAGAGCAATTGTCAAACCAAAGTTTGAATTCTCCTTTTTGTACTTCCTTGTCTGGGTGCCTGGGGAAGGGAGGAGGAAGCGGGGAGGGAAGGGAGCAGAGAGGAAACGAAGCGGGAGGGCTGGCTGGGAGTCAGGAGTAAAGAGGAGCTGGGGAGGGGAGGGCTTGGGATCTGATGGGCTGCATCCACCCATGCTGGCAGAGTTACTGCCACCCGATAGCACGTGCTGCTATCAGTCCTGCTGATTAAAGGTATTTTCTGGGTTGTAAGCCCATCAGAGAGCTTGCTATGGCTGAGGTAGAAAGACATAAGGGGGTAAGATGGGTCCATCAGTTTTCCCCTGACAAAGGGAATTACTTACTGGTTGAGCAGAGTTTTGAGGACACTTTAGTTCTGACTTGCCAATGAAAAGCATGAAGAAAAGTCAGGTATAAGCTAGCTGGAAATAGTATTGGTCATGCATGCCCTTATAAAAACTGAGAGAAAATAATGCACTTTTCATTCATGAAATAGAAGTGGATATATATTCATATTCAAACTTGAAAATTGATTCTTTCTTTTTTTATTTTGAATACATATACATTATATAAAATTCGGTTTCTTTTAAACTTCAAAAGAGTTTTCAGTTTCTTTACCCATGGAGAAGGAAGAACCCAAGAATAGTTTCAGGATTTTTTTCTGGCTATAGGGCTTTCACTTCTAGCCCCTGTATGTGAGTCCTGCCATCCTCCAGATCCTGCCAGTTTCTGGAAGATGCTGGTGCTATCTGTGGGCTGTGTAGAGAGACATCCATGGCGAGGGATGCTCTGGTGAATACTCAGCCTTAGATCATGCCAAGAGCAGGGCACTCCACCTAACCACTCTAAATATAACTGCTGAACCTAAAAAGTGATGCCTCCTTGTGTGTGCACCTCTGGTCCAACAGGGTAGGGAACCTGGGAGTTGTGTGCTCCTATGCTCTCTCTCACGGAGACCTCCAGCTTACTCTTTTTACTCCTTTTCCATAACCTGAAATGTGTGGCTGGCTGATCATGATCTCTGTAAGGGAAAGCAGTGATCCTGATTTTAGATTCCCCATGGCTTTCAGGTTTTTATATATTTACCATTTTCTCTCTAAGGAGTAGTGTTGCCTTAATTTTTTGGTGCAAAATGAAGTGGGATTTCTAGATACTTTACTACTGATTTTGTACTGTGGCAAGTGCACACTGGGCCTGGCTCACTTGGTGACCTACAAGTAAATGAAGATGCTCCATGTTAGAGCATGCAGATGTGTTTTGCCAGGAAATGAACAGGCTTGTAATATTTGTTCATCTACACTTTCTGTTAAATCCATTTCTGCTGTGCAGAAGTAGCAAAAAACATAACCACATAAGCAGCAAAAAACATAGTGCTGCACATCCTATCAAAAAGAAATATTTATAAATGCCACCACTGCACACTTTCCTGAAAAGTATCCAATTAATACCTGCAATAAAATTTTGTCACCATGTTGCATTTGTTTGCGGGCAGTAACTGGCAGGCAGCAACTGTATACTGAAAAATGTTAGAGTGAGGGAAGGAAGAGGCAGATGAAATGTTATAGTAAATGTTCTCAGAGGTCATCAACAAATGCAGCATAAACATTACTGCAGCTTCTCACTAACAAACTGAGCTTAAATAGCGACTGTTCTGTCTCGCATCTGAAATACTGTTGCAAAAAACAGTACCGGCCTTGTTTTAAAGTAAGGGAAAACACTGAAGCTCTTGAACAAGTTGACATCCATTATGTAAATTCACATGTAAAAAAAATACAGGGCGTTGATATTTAATGTCAGACTAAAGATTACTTATATGCAACTTTTTTTTAGTGTACTTGCAGATTCAGTCAAATTAGTGGATGTTTCCCTGCTTTGTCTGTTAAGGGTTAACACTGACTAGACCATGTCTTCTGTTTTTTCTGGAGTCCTACAGTAAAGTCTCTGTGTAACTTAAGACACCATGAAGTCTTTTTGGATAGGAAAACTTCCTTCACTCTGAAAATGGGATCTTCTGTAGCCCTAATCAAAGCCAACTGTACTAATGTTGGCTTCTTGCTGTTTGAGTCTGTGATGCCATCTACACGTTCCTCCAGTGACTCTGCAGTATATAGAAAGTTAGTGTTACTTCACTTTGTCTTTGCCAGGCTGTCAGGACCATGAGGATTTTTCAGAATCCTCTCTGGGAGAGATACAGAGCTTTAGTGTCTTCCTGTCTTTTCTCTGCCTAGCTGCAAGCTTTCCTAGGCATAGTTGCACTGGTGGGTTTGGGGCCTCTTAATAACTCTGGAGTACAAAATTGTGTCTAAAATACCCCTGTGTCACTGAGAACTCCTTGGTTCTGTTCTCTGAGGAGTGAAAACGTTGTGGAAACCTCTGTGACCTACCAGATTCTGTTCTCTGTTGATGGCAGCGAGTCAGAAGCTTGAGGGGAAGCCGTGTAGCAACTCCAGCAGAGGGAGGACTCCTAAAATAAGAGATACAAATTTTGCACAGCCCTATAGCTTTATGGGAAGATGGGGTGATAGTTTTGTCTTCAATTAATTCCAAACAAAACCTCACAAATTTTAGGAAATTTTGACTCTGAACTGGGTAGCTGAAGCTTGAGTTACAAGAATTGACTGAACCTAGTGCAGGTCGAAATTGATGTTGGCAACTCATTGACACTTCCACATTTCAGTGAATTAAATGAACCTTACTGTGTTCACAGGACAGAAAAGGAATTAAATTAAATATTTGCAGGGTAATAATTTAGAATTCAAAACACTTCTGCAGTGAAAATTAATCCAATTTTCCTTTTAGCAGAGTATATTTTGGATTTGAGGAATAAAGGAGCATAGCTATGGTAAGCAATAATTTAGTTCTCTGATTCATAAAGTTGCTCAGTGAGTCATTGAAGCAGATCTCACTAGTGACTAATATGCATTGATTTCAATGGATTTTATTATCTCATTATGAGGGTTTTTTTGGTGGCTGTGACAGTACACTTCTTCATTGCCTTAACTCAAAAGTTTGAGGGAATTCCTTGTGATAAATCTGGACTTGTAGGTAAACATGCAGCAGTAAGCAAGACCTCACCCTATTGCAATTCTATTAGATGCTTTGTTTTATTGCTGGGTTCAATCAAGTAGAGTAAAAAAATAACATAGATTACAGCTGTGATAAGTTACTTATTATTTACAGCTTTACTTGTCAAGCAAGTCAGAAGACAAGGTTCTTAAGATTTTAATTCTCCCGTTCCCATCTTGTTTATGCTATGCTTTTATCTGAATTAAATTTTGGCTTGCAAACGACAAAATTATTTAATTGACTATATTTAATTCCCTTCTTCAGTATTCACTTCAGTATTTATATATGTGACCTGCAAATTGGAGTTTCTGTACCCAAATGGTCTTACCCAGAGAGATATCTGTTTTCTTACACCTTGCACAGCAGGAACACAGAGTGGGATCTGAGAATATGCAAAATGTCAAAACATGTCTGTAGACATTCCAAAGGTATGTCTCTGTATTACTTAGGATCCTGATGTTGTCATGCAGGCAGAAGCTGAGTCCCAAGGAACCCCACCTGCTTTAAGCTTAGCATGGCAAATTAATTTATTACAGATTATATACTTCTTACTCCAGATGGTGATAAATGGTAATATTAGGTAACATTCCATCTCTGTCCTTGATTTGTTGTCTGATCTGAGTCAAGCAAAATACTCTGGTTTTCAGTTTGTTTGCAAATAAAGTGAATTCATCACATACTTTGCAGGAATGTGATGAATTAGGTATTAGAGAAATAAAATATGTTGTCAGGATTAGTAAGGGAAGATATGAAGTCATGAAAATGTCTCCATCTCAAAGAACCAAAGTCTGTGGACATTTGAATCTGTGGTTTCTGCCTGTCTACAGAAGGGTCTATTGCAAAATTTACATTCATTTTTGGGTTTGAATTTTGAACACTCCAGGGCTTTCAGGTAGGGCCCATCTCCAGGGAAAATAAAACTTAACCGCAGCCACCAACCCAAAACTGAACCATCAAGTAACCTGAACCCAATCGAGTGAGGTTAAAAAGCGTTTGGTTAAGCGCCTTGTTTTGTTGCCTTTGGCTAGAAAAAGAA